TAACCCTGTGCTGTCCCTGTCCTGGGAGTGTTTGATGTGAGGACAGTGTAGAAAGAGCTTTACGCTGTTTCTAACCCTGTGCTGTCCCTGTACTGGGAGTGTTTGACAGGGGACAATGTAGAGGGAGCATTGCTTTCAGTCTGAGAGAGTCGGGGTGGGTTTACTTCTTGATTTATCGGGGGACTGATGTTGCCACCTGGATCGAACTAACTCTTGTTTCGTCTCTCTCTCTCTCTCTCTCTCTCGCTCTCTCTCTCTCTCTCTCTCTCTCTCTCTCCCTCCCCCCCCCCCCCCCTCTCTCCCTGGTGGGTTTTGACTGGACGTCACGTCGATGATTTGCCCCACTATCAGCCCATCGAGCCCGGCGCTCGGAGCTCAGGCCCCAGGCTCCATGGCATCGCAGGGCGCAGCTGGAGCTACGTACGCAGTCGTGGGACGGCGGAGAGAGGGTGGGAGCCCGAGGCCCGTCTCCTCCTACGTCCTGCCCACCTCCTCAGGCTGCACCTACGAGAACCTCAGCCAGGCCCCTGGGAACCTATTGTCGTCATCCACCTCCTCGTTGTACAGCGCTGTGGGCTTCGGTGACAGTCCCCGGGTACTGCCCCAGAAGACCCAGTACGCCAACCTGCATCCCTCGTCCACGCCTGCAGCTCCTCCTCACGTCTCCACCATCTCCTACTCCACCATCGCTTTTGGGCAGCAGGGCTCCGAACCCATCTCCCGCACAGGTAAGGAGGTTCCTGCAGTGACACGGCGCCCGACACGCTCTCGGTGGGGAGTGTTGGGGGAAGCCCAGATAAAGAGGCTCCCACATCAGGCACAGCGAGCTACGTTGAGGCAGCACCCAACACGCACTCGGCTGGGCACCCTCCAGCATTGCTTGGACGTCTCGTTCCAAGCCTTGTGAGGGGGAGGAGACCCAGAGTTCATTCAAACGTGAACCGGGGGGGAGTGCCTTAACGTGACAACGTCGGGGAGGGATTGATGGAGGAATGGAGGGCGAGGCGGAGGGAGAGAGGGTTGACCGTGGGAGCAGGAGAGACTGGGGAAGTGAGAGACACGGGGAGCAGATGAGACGTGGAGAGGGGGAGAGATCTAGAGAGAGAATACAGCAAAACAAGGAGAAGGTGGGTGTGGGGTGGAGAGAGGAGAGACAAGGGGAAGGGGAGACAGGCAGGGAGAGAGAGAGAGACAGGCAGGAAGAGAGAGCATGGGTGGCACAAGGAGAAGGGGAGGGGTGAGTGTCATGGAGTTGGGAGAGAGTGCAGGCAACATGGTGGGGAAAGCAAGCAAGACGGTGCAGACAACCCCCAATGGCAGAGCGATGGGAGTAGGGATGATCAGAGGCCGGAATTGGGAGAGCACAAACAAGAGCTAGAGGAAGTGGCAGAGATAGGGAGGGGGTGAAGGGGGCGGGAGGAGGTGACAGAGATGGTGAAGGGGAAGTCAAAGTTCTCTAATAATTAAACCAAAACACAAGCCATAATCTATATTGACGGGAATACAGGGTCCTCTCTAATAATTAGTTCCGAAACACCCAGAGAAACTCACTTTTCCCCTCGTAATCTGTTTAAAAAAAAATAGTTAAAGGAAAGAAAATCCCTGATCCACTCTATAAATAACAAGTAACAATTTATTTATTTACTTTAACAATGAACAAATTAACAGAATTACTAACAAACCAAACAATTCCCCCCTGAGCACTAACTATTCCGTAACAACTAAATTCCACTGGAATGCTGTTCAAATAAACACAAGTCCCACTTTCATAAACCTAATTAATAGAGACAACAATAAATTAAAACTTAATCGCTCCAAGTTTGCGCAGAATGTGTCTTCTGGATGTTCCGTCTTCTCCATCTGTCAGGAACGTCTTCTCTTTTTGCTATTTTTTCTGTAATTTCTTCTGTGAGAACTTTGAACTTAAAAAAAATACCATGGTACCTTTGGAGCTTTTTAGAGAACTTAATGATTTTGTGTGAAGGCCAGGTTTATGTCTCAAATGGCCGATTTGCTTTCAAGTCAGATGGCAGTTGGCTCTCACCTCAGATGGTAGTTAGCTCTCTTTTTGATACCCTTGATGACCTGTCCATTTTTTCCCCTGGAGGCTGAGGGGTAACCTTGTAGAGCATTTCGGAGGCAATGACCATCATACGCACCATGGAAGCAGACTCTTCGGCCCTACTCATCCATGCCGACCAACTTTCCCAATCTGAACTAGTCCCATTTGCCAACGTTTGGCCCCTATCCCTCTATCCATGTACCATCTACCACCACCACGTCTTCTGACAGCTCGAACCATACACGCACCACCCTGTGTGTGGAAAAGGTTGCCCCTCAACTCCTTTTTAAATCTTTCTCCTCTCACATTAAAACTATGCCCTCTTGTTTTGGGGAAAAAAACACTGGCTATTCACCTTATCTAGGCCCCTCGTTATTTTATAAACCTCTATAAGGTTACCCCTCAGCCTCCAGGGGAAAAAAATGTCCCAGCCTATCCAGCCTTCCCTTATAACTCAAGCTTTCCAGTCTTAGTAACATCCTTGTAAATCTTTTTTGAAGTATCTCCAGTCTAATAACATTCTTCCTATAGCAGATTGGCCAGAACTGTACGCAGTACTCCAAATATGTCTTACCAATGTCTAGTACAGCCAAAATATGACGTTCCCAACTCCTGTACCCAACGCTCTGACCAATGAAGGCATGCATGCCAAATGCCTTCTTCACCAATCTGTGTCTACCTGTGACTCCACTTTCAAGGAACTGTGTACCTCCACCCTCTTTCAACAACATTCCCCAGGGCCCTACCATTACGCCCTGCCATGGTTTGCCTTACCAAAATGCAACACCTTGCATTTCTTTGAATTAAACTCCATCTGGCGCACAATGACCCAATTGATCAAGATCCCGTTGTACTCTTAGACGACCTCCTTCACTGTCCGCTGTACCACCGATTTTGGTGTCAACTGCAAATATACTAACCATGCCTCCTTTATTCACATCCATGAAAACGAGCTGGCGGAGAGCTGACCTCACTGGGGCTAGAACGAGAGCTGAGCAGGAGTGACTGGAGTAAGAGAGTGGCAGGAGGAACAGTAACTGAACAATGAGCCACCATCAAGGTGTAGATGGTTCAGGTACATTCGAGGGCTATCTCCTCAAATGGGAAAGGCAGGGCCAACAGATCCAGAGTTCTCTGTGTGACAAAGGAAGTAGGAATCAACGTTAGAAAGAAAAATGGTGTCCTTGTGATGGGTGAAAAATGCATACAAGAATTAACAGGAATGCTGAAATCTTGGGGAGCAGGAGATTGAAAGGCAATGAGGGATTTTGAGAAAAGCCTAGCAGTTAACATCAATGGAGGCTACAGGAACAGGAAATGCCAGTCAGGATTTCCAGACGGAGGCCTGGGCATGGGAGAGTGCTGAATGAATATGGGTGTCTATCTTTACAAAAGTGGGAGGATATGCACAGTGCATGGTAGGTCCCTAGGGAGTACTGAGGAACAAAGGGACCTTTGTTAACAAGTCCACAGATCCCTGAAGGTGCCGCACAAGTAGTCAGGGTGGTGAAGAAGGGATGCTCACCTCCATTAGCTGGGGCATAGAACATAGGACCAAGGAAGTCTTGTTACAACTTTGAAAGACATTGGTTAGGCCACAGATGGAATACAGTGTGCAGTTCTGGAGGCCACACTATCAGAAGGACATGATTGCACTGGAGAAGGTGCAGAGGAGATTCACCAGGATGTAGCCTGGGAAGGAAAGTCTCAGTAATGAGGAGAGACTGGATAGGCTGTGTTTATTTTCCCTGGAGCTGAGGAGGGATCTGATCGAGGTATACAAAATTACAAGAGGCATAGACAGGACAAATCGTGAGAATCTTTTTCCCATGGCAGATGTGTCTAAGGCCAGAGGGCATCAGTTTAAGGTGAGGAGTAAGTGGTTTAGAGGAGATTTGAAGAAACATTTTTTTACCCTGGGGATGGTAAGAATATGGAAGGTGCTGCCTGAGAGGGTGATGGAGGCCGGTACTCTCACAGCATTTAAGAAGCAATTGGATGAGCACTTAAAATTCCTACAGACCAAGCACAGGTAAATGAGATGACTGCAGTTTAATGTTTGTAGGTCAGCATTAACACTGTGGGCCAAGGACCCGTTCCAATTCAGAATGATTGCAAAAGATCTGCTCAGGCTACGGTGAGAGAGAAGAAAGCTCTGTGCCACACAGCAGACTTAAGGAGAAAGTTACAGGTCGTGGTATGAAAGGGACAGTTGTGATGCGGATACAAAATTGGCAGAGTGATGGAGAACAGAGGGTAAGGGTCCATGGATATTTTCCAGGCTGGAGGAAGGCGTGTGTTGGAGTTCAATGCGGAGAAGTTTGAGGTGACGCACTTTGATTGGAAGAACATTGAAAGACAACATACAATAGGGGCCAACAGGAGCAGTGGGAGCTGGGTGTAGATGTGCACAGATCACTGAAGGTGAAAGGACAGGCAGAGAGAGCAGGAAATAAAGCAGACAGTGCCCTCGGCTTTACAAACAGGAGCATAGAGTGAGAAGGTGACGTC